AACCCTGAACCCTAAATCCTGGACCAACAATCTCAAAGTTGCGACATCCTGCAGCAGAACCCAAGCCTCGCTTTGGCCCACATCCTGTTTTGGGGTTTTAGGGTTTAGGGTTTAGGGTTTTGGGGTTTAGGGTTTAGGGTTTTAGGGTTTTAGGGTTTTAGGGTTTAGGGTTTAGGGTTTAGGTGTTACATCCTCTCTTGGGGTAATGCTAGGTCAAGTAGGGGAGCAAATGGAAACTAGCGCTTTTTGGGTGTTGTCTTGCAATTTCTCTGGGGAAATCAATCGGGCTTAGGTTTCAGAACTAGGGGTCTGGAGTTTTGAGGTTGGAGCTCGCTCTTTTTGAGGTTTGAGGCTTAGGGTCTTTGGTTTCCGTAGGGCCTATGGCCTCAACGTCTTGCTGTTCGCTAGGCTTCTTGCATCGCGGGTTTCCCAGTTTTGGTTTCTCAAGCAAAGGGAGTATGCGAAACTTGACCATCCTGATTGGATGTGCTACAGTATGGCAGTTTTGGTAAGGATATTCAACAGGATCCTCAAGAAGAGGCTAGACTGAAAGGTCTAGATAGGGGTCAGAAGAAAATGAGCGCTTCCTTAAATCAACATTGCATACTGATCGTTCTGGCAGATGCCCCAAATGCTTCCGAACATGCTACACAGAGCTAGAGCTTCAGAGCACTTGAATTAACGGGCTTAACGTATTTGTGCTTAAGTTCCGGGATTGTGCGGAAGCGGGTCCGTATAATGATTAATGGTCATCATATCTTCCCCTCTTCTAGTACCCTATCTTCAAGCGCCCGCTCCCCACTAGCTATGGCCTCGGTTTGGGAGGCAAACCTGAAACTTTGCGCAGGCCCTCATCAAGTACGGCTTCGCACGGTCAGGTCACAAGTTTTCATAGGGCGCATACCCTATCGTGTAGGATTCGAGGTTTCAAAGGATATGTGGCTTAAGTCACGGGTTGGCGACGACTGCGGGATTCCCACGAAGGATCTGCAAATGGGTTTTGGGATGGGTTTGGAGTTTAGGACCTGAGGGTTTAGGGTGGTAACCACAACGAGTCGGACTTGCTGCAAGTATCGTTTTGAGGTCTCGCAAGCAAGGCGACTGGCTGATTTCAAGACGGGACGTAGGCTGAGAAGAGATGCCGGTGGGTGTTTGCGTTCAACCCTCATCACAAGTGGGTTCTAGCCCTGCAAGCCTTTCTGCTCAACCCGTCGGCGGATGACCACATACTCATTTCCCTTCTTCATGCACTCCCTGAACAAAACCCTTCCGAAGCTTGTGACTTGGCCACCCCAACCTGTCACAAGTGCACTGCGAATTAAAGCCGAAGCTAAACCGCGCACCCCTAAACCCAAGCCGTTGGCTTCTTACCCCGAACCCCCATATCCTGAGCCTTCAACCCCTTCTACTAGTTACTAGCCCCTTGTAGCCGCTTTTTGCCCCTAAGCCCTACACCCCAAACCCTATCAGCCCCTCCTCACCCTTCCCCCTGCTGGTGCTTAAGGGGGAGTGGGGGAGTGAACATAGGTACCATTATAGGGGTATATGTGCAAAAGATATGTATGTATATAACTGCAGAAATATGTGTGGGGATTATCTGGGGGTTACTATAGGGATCCACTCCCCCACTCTCCCTTAAGCACCAGTAAGTCCCCCCTTGGGTCTTGCCGCACTGTCGCCAACTTCTTCGCCACTGCGTCGAGGCGATGCTGTATATCCTTGAGCTCCTAGGCCCAGGGAGGGTTATAGAGGTTGTTTCTTTAAAGTATACGGCGCCTGTATAGGGTTTGGGGTTTAAGGATTAAGGTTTAGGTTAAGGAGATCAGGTTTAGGGTAACCTACTCATCCTGTATTGTTCCCAGCCTCGTTGCGACTGCAGCGTGCGAGTTGCCGGAAAAATCGCTTGGACAAAGCACTTTAGTCGTACTCACCGCCTCCCCCGCCTTCCCCTACTGATCCCCTCGCTGATAATGAAACATTCCCGTAGTGGGGTACTACATGAGAACACAAGGAATATTCAAGAATAGGAAGTGGGGTATATGAGGGGGAGAGCTTTTCAAGGGGATGCCGCAATGGTTTGAAGCGGCGCAATGCCAAAGTAGGCTTTTGGAAGTCGAGATCTCTCTGCAATTATGCAACGCTTGTCTTATCAAAACAGTAACTTTTTAGGGTGTATAGGTCCTAGCAATAAACTGGTCATAAGTTGTACGTTTTCCTACCTAGTCGTCCATAAATCCCCTGCCCAAAGCATTCGGCAGTGGTCCGTGACAAGTAAGCCAGATTGCCCACACGCCCTTGGCCCTTGGGACACGCTCGTGAATCTCTAGCTGGGCTGCTCTTGAGGAACTTGAAAACCTACCAAAATCTGAATTAATTGTCTTAAGGACCGCCAAAACACCTGCCCCAATCTGAACTTATGGAAAAACAGGTCTCCTGAATGGTGTTTTTCTCAGTTCGTTACCATCAACCAGGTTGAAGCTTCCAAACCTACACCACAGTACTATGATATTGTTGTTATACATAACACCTGCTATCTCACGTTATTGTACAGTATCCTTATTGTTATATTCTTATTCGTACATTTGTATATGCATACATATATTATGACACAGGGTATTAGGACATGATACTGTTTATATAGAGATAGATTTTAAAAATATTCTTATTATTTGCAGTCAACTTGCCTGGTGCTTTTTTACGCTCACTACCTGCAAGGCACTGCGGGTTAACCCAAGCCCTGAAGGCCAAACGTTACATAGGGCCGGCGGTTGGTGGCCTCAACAGGTCATTGCGCATTCCAACTAGAATGTCAGTACTGGGCGAGGGCAGGAAACCTTTCCAGAGCATAAAGCTTTCCAAAGTAGAAACCCTTCCAAACAACTGCCGTCTCCTGTTCAGCGCTTTGCCGGTTCTTCTCCGGTACGTGGCCGATATCGCCAAGACCTCATGAGGGAAGGGTAGTCAACTAGGGTTTAGGGGGGAAGGTTTGGGAAATAGCCGAGAAAAGTGCAGAAAGCCAAAGCACCAAGAAGCAACATGGCCATCCCGATCTGGAATCCGGGCAATGTTCTTAGCTAATAAAGCCTGCATGACCCTGTCGAGGCCCTGCAATCTGAACTGTTAACATCTGATTCTGGTCACTGCGGGGGCTTTGCTGTAAAGAGTTCGGCAATCCACACTGAACACCGCCGCAACGGGGTGCCTGCTAGAAGAGGCTTGCTGTGTTGCATGTTGGGTTCATGGTTTAGGACACTTTGCTGCACCCCTTCGCTGCACCCCTTCGCTGCGCCTCTTCGCTGCGCCCTTTCGAAACGAAATTCCAAGGGAAGACTGTATAAGGATTCTGGTTGGGTAGTAGTCTGTGCCATGCAGCATGCAATGTCTGCTTGGAGGGCTCCGCCATTCCTAAACAAAGTTCTGCAAAGTTAACCTGAAAATAGAGCATCCCTCCCGAACTTTGTTTGTTGTGTGCTTTTTGTCTACGGAATGGGGGAAGGACTCAGTAGGACAGGCCGTGGTGGCACGAGTATCTGTAGAAGGAAATCGATTAACATGTGGATATTCTCGGGCGCGGAGCATTAATATTGCTGCCGGTAGCACTTATAGGTTTTTGGGCTCCGAACTTGCTAGAAAGCAAAAAAAATATCTGCCGGACTTTTCTGACCCCCCCAAAGGGACTACTGTAATGTCAGCCCTGTATTCATGATAGGTTAACATTACACTCCTCACACAGTCCATGTGCTGACCTATCCCTCCTGAAGCCCCACGGCCCCTGTATGTACATATAACATCATAGCTTTTGATCTACTTATGTTTCTCACCATAAATGGTATCTCTTGCTACACCCCCCAAAACACGTACCCTCCCAATACACACACACACACACACACCGAAGGAACCCTAAGCAAACTCGACAAAAACACGAAATCATGAGAAAACCCTTTTCATGTGAGTTATAGTCTAAGCTAAACCCTTAGTATCCGCCATAACAAGCACTGGAATAGTCCCTTTATAATCCTCTATATAACCCCTCTTAAGGAGTTTAAACCCTTGTTCCTGTCTACTTTCGGATGAATTTCAGATTCAGCCAAGAAACGTGCTTGGGCGAACCTGGCGGCCTGGGATACCTGGACGTTTAGGCTCTCGGAATCTACGTACGCAGATTACGAAACACCAGAGTGTTTAGGATATTAATTCATCATAATTTCGGCTTTCCACTACATAGTCAGGGGATTGGAGTTTCAGGCTTTATGGGCGGTGCGGTTTAGGGCCTTAGGGATAATAAGCTGGTAAGGATTAGGGGGTGGGGCTTACAGATTAGCCTCGGGATTAATCGCACTTAATTTGTGGGGACAAGAACTTTGATCAAGGCTTGAGGGTTACCATGAATCACAGAATGGGCTTTCAGTTTAGGGTATTTAGGCGGGTTTGAGGATATTCCCAGGAGCTGGTGTTCAAGCCCATTGCTTCCTCACCTGTCACCTGGGCTCTTGAGGAGCCTTTGTTGCAGGAAGATTTGTAGAGACCAATTCGTTCCTTCCTTCTGCTACAGTAGCAAGCAGCAAGCTGTACTCAGCCCGAGAAAAGCTACGAAAATATTTGCGAACGGCATACCGATGGTCATCCTGTGTCATATTGGGATGCTTGAGCCCAGATTCCTTTGGAGCAGAATCCGGTACTCCTACCAGTTCATATAGCCCCAACATAACCTACTATACTATATAATAGTTTTCGTGTTCTTGTCCATTTTTCCTATATAACCCAGACCCGTAATTAATAAACCCCCTCCCCTTAATAGGGAGCATAATAGGGATCCGAATATAAAGTCCATGACAACGAGGGGGTTTATTAATCATGGGTCTACATTAAACCCTATAAACCCCAAACAGTAGTTTCCACGTTCTTTTCCATTCTCCCTATATAGCCCCAATATAACCCTAATATATAACCCCAATACAACCTTCTGGTAGTTTGCGGATTCGTTGTTCCAATCCATGGTGGAAGCTCTCCCAGCGCGCCCTCAACTGTGCAGCCCAAAGGACCCCTGAAGCTGAGATGTATATAGTCCCCCTTAAGTAGATAGAATATGGGGCATATGGGGATCCGATTATAGTATCCCCAAAGCATGCGAAAGCCATATTCTATTTACACAAGGGGGAATACATACTCTGAATGGTAGTGAGGCCCAAGATGAAGCCTTCATTTAAGTTGTTGCCAAGCCATATATCCCCGAACCTTTTGAAAAACCGAGCCCCGATAAGCCCCGAACTCCCAACCTGCCCAACCCGCCCACCTTGCCCTGGCAATTGTCCGCCTCCCTCCGGCACTGTTGGCCCGTCCTACAGGGCAGACTCAGGTTTGGGTAAATTGGTGCGCGGGGATTCAGATTTCGTGGACTGAGGCATCATTGCTTTCGGCTCACCAGCTCGTAGTGCTATGTTAGGGGTTAGGTGATAAGTTCAGATCACGTAATGTTGATCCTCCTGCCTTCCACTCGCATGTCCCTTACTAGTCCCTTGGCCCTAGGCTAAAGGAACTGAGTACCCCCAGGCGTAGTGGAAGCGAACACCGCATTTCTAAACACGGCAATTTTCGTGGAATGACTACGTCAAGGCCTCAATAGAACTGCCTTGACTCTTTGCTGCTTCAATTGGCCGATGCAGCCTCTGAAGCACACATAGAGGACATAGAGCGCCTAAAACAGGCTCGTGGTATGAAGACCCCGCTGCCAACCCCAAGACCATGAACTAAAAATCCTACTCCCCAAATCCCAAAAGCCTTGCTTCCCTTAAGCCCCTGCTCCTAACCGGCTACCCCCAAACCGGTTCTACAAGTCGACTGCGCGCTTGCCGTCCTCTGAGCCTCTGCTGCCGACATCTCGAACATGCCCTCTTCCTGGTGTGGAAAGTTGAACTAGAGGGGGGGGGTATAGGCATTGTAGCGTAGGGGCCTATCTAACTAGAGCAGGGTTTGGGGGCGCAGTCTACTACAGTTATGGGGAGTATGACAAGTCACGACTCCCGGGCTTCCTCTTTGGTGTTTGTGGCTGGATTTAAAGCCGTCGGGTTGGGCTCTAGGGGTGCCTTGAAGAACATGTCTACAATCGTCCATATCAATCCTAGAGCTTTCTTAAGGTTTCTTGCCGTGATCTTTGTAGGTTCTGTTAGGGTGTGCTCCTACAGTTGGTATCATGCTATGTTGGGGGTGCCTGTTACTACAAGCAACTGGAAACCCGCAGCATCGGCTGTGTCGTCTACTCTGCATGCTAGCTGGATCATCAAGCAGGCATCTCCGGCGGCATCTCCCCTGTTTTTGTTTTGACTCTTGACAATCAGGGGATTTAGGGGGCCTACTGTCTGAGGCGTCTTGATCCCCTTTAGCTTGAACCCTGAGGTCTGTATGAGATAGGGCCCCATCATGGCAGCCAGTAGCCGCTGTTGATAAACTTTATGCCTTCAAATTGAAACTCGTAAACCCCAACCCTGAATCCAAACCCTCATCTCCGAATCCTCAACGACAATATCTCGGGCAATTACCGCCCTCACCCTGTAACAGTCTATCCTCGGGATCATATTAAGGGCTAGATATAACTGCATTATACATCTTATCTAACTGTTACAGATTGGAGGCAGTACGCAAACAATATCCAGGGCCAAGTTTCGAAAGCAGTGGAGCTACTGACAGCAATCTCCAGCTGCTCCTGGCTGCTAATGGCTCTACACTGAAATTGAAGCCCCCAATCCAGAATATGAAAGATATTACCCTAGCATATATATATATATATGTATATACACATGTTTAGATATGTAGCGCTATATTTGGCATGTGAGCATATGTGTATATGATATATAGCACTATATTCGGCATGTGAAGATATGTATATATATATATGTATATCTATATAGCGCTATATTCGGCATGTGAAGATATGTATATATATATATATGTATATCTATATAGTGCTATATTCGGCATGTGAATATATATATATATATATGTACACTATATACTTATGTATACATATATGTGTATTTATGTATGTGAGTATTACTGGCTACTATCAAGCATGCTCAACATCAGGGGGGTGGGGGGTATTTATCTACAGGGGAGAAGATATTTTGATCAATCTACTGAAGGTTTCGAAGTTTCGAGTCCATGGATCGGGGCCTGCAAGACGGCGTGTATGGTTGGTAAACCCTAAACCCTAAACCCCTAAACCCTAAACCCTAAACCCTAAACCGTTTGGGGTCCCAAGCGTTGAGTTTACAGATGGGGGCCTAAACAATGGTGGGCTTGGTTGGTTTGGGTCTTGGGGTCTTGGGTGTGTGTGGATCAAAGGTTTGAGATCTCTCCTGTCAGGTACGCTTGAGAATCCTCAGTATACAAGGGAATTTTAAGGGGAGTAATGACCAGAGTCCTTTTCAGCTCAAGGCTTGCATAGGGTTCTTGAAACAACCCTAAGCTCTAAACCCTGGGCTTTCATAGGCCTACCTGCAGTTTGCTTTTCCAAGTAAGAAGCACTCACAATACACTGGAGCACGTGCGCTCGATCTCCCCGAAAATCCTTGCAATGAGTTTAGCACAAACCTCTCACACGAGAAAAACCCCCGCATAACCCACATATGACCCTCTACAAAGCCGAAACCCGATGGAACCCACAGAACCCTATCCTATTTAATCGCTATATACTCCCTTGAGAGGACTTTGTGTGAGCGGGATCTCAGGCTTGTCGGGCCCCTGTACGGTAATCTCTGACTAGCGTGAACTCCCTAAACTCCACAATCAAAATTTAGTGAAACTTTGTGCAGCTCTACTTGGGGGTTAAAGTTATTCATAGCCCCTCTCCGCGATGTGATAACGCCAGCTATCCCGGCCATTCATGCAGTCCCACTACTCAAAGCCCCGCCTGGCCCAAACCCTCAACACAAGCACCTTCCCTGCAACCCACTCCTCCGCTGCTGCAGTACGAGCCCGTGCAGTTTCCAGCATCTTTGCAAACAATTTGGGATGGAGGAGTTGGAGGTTCTTGGGCTCAAGGCGGCAAATTTGGATCCCCACCCTGGATACTGAAATTTTGCAGGGATGATGCAAGGCCTTGTCGGGAGTTATCTTGCTGGTGGTCAGTAAGGAAGGAATGAATGGCAAAGAACATCGAAACTAATTACTCACCATATACAGGGCTACCATAGGGATTCGTTCCTTCGTTCCCTACCAACAAGAGCAGCGATCACGCTGTTGGAGGGGGTCCAAGGTGATCCTCACAGCTTGCCCGTCGTGGGTTCAGCAGCTTGCGGGAGGGTAAATTATAGTCCCCCTTAAGTAGATCGAATATAGCTTTGGGTATATTATAATAAGATCCCCAAAAATACCACATTCTATCTACTTAAGGGGGACTATATGTTCATCCGAAGCCCGAGACAAGACCATGCGGGATTACTCCTATCTAAACGACCATGTAAGGCATTTAGGGTGAAGTCAGGTGAGGTCGCTATAAACCTACGCCTATGCGGCTTGCTAAAAGTTAGGGGTAATTAATCGACTATGTCAGGCATCGTTTGATAGATACAGTGGACCGGATTACTTGGAAACACCCACATTGGTGTTCCGCAATCTAGGGCCTAGGATGGCTTAGGGAAAACAATAACACTTTCAGGACTCCCGGAAGATGCTTCTCTCGCTGCGCCGCAAAGACAGACATGGGCATGTCTGGCACAAACAATGGCATCCTGATCCCCAAAAGCAAACCTTCTAACTCCCAAAAAAATTAAAAGAGTCTCAGGAGCCCCGACACTTCGAGGCCAAAACCCTGCGCTACAAAACATGTTTGAACCCTTACTAGGAATATGGTGGTATTGGGTGATTTCCTTCTGCCCATCCAGAACATCATCCTGCTTCACCCCCTCCCCTACAAATAAAGGCGCCCACCTACCTGCCACTGAACGTTCGCCACATATCGCAAAAGCACTACCTAAACCCCAAAAGTATGTAAAATAATAGCCCTAAACCCATAATAATAGCCATAAAGGCAATTATTTTACATACTTTTGGGGTCCAGGTATAACTTTTGAAAGCTTAAGATGCTGGAAATCCCAGGCAGGATAGACTCCCGCTAACAGGATTCCAAGGCAAAACCAAGGTTTAGGGCTTAGGGTTTAGGGAGGGTCTTCGCTGTTTGGGGTCCCTACTTACTATCTGACACAGGCCTTGTGACAGCGTAAGTCCTCCCTGACTTCGCGAAGACGCAGTCCAACAGCATCTAAGCCTCTCCAGCACACTTTTCTTAGAGGGGTTGAGGATTTCCAAAGTTGCGGTTCCGTTTCCGGAGTTGTTGTAGTGCGGATTATATAACTAGTGATCCAAGGGTCTAAACTAGACTCCGTTTATCAGTGCGAACAACGTTCAGGATTTGGGGTCTAGGATTTAGGGTCTGCAACATGCAGATCAAGTCCGAGCTCTGGGATTGAACCTTTTCAGGCAACCCTGCGGCAGGCACAGTGGATGTATTCTAAGAAACTGTGAGTTCCCGATGCATGCACACCCCTAGTGAGGAAAAAACATATATGCACATGGCACATGCTTCAGGGTGACTATGCCGGCAGGCGTTCCAGAAACGTCTTGGCTAGCGCAACCCAAAGAATGAAGATGGTGCGGATTCTGAGAGCCACCAGGATAGAATATGGGATGAATGGGGATCTTATTATAATATACCCTAAGCCATAATCTATCTACTTAAGGGGGACTATACATGCATGCACAAGTTAAACTACACCAATATCCCAACAGCCTTCGCCTTTCACACAACTTAAACTACGCCAATATGCGAATCTACACCAACATCACAACAGCTTTCACCTGACACCCTGAACCCTCCAAAGGAGAGTCTCTGTCAAAGCTTCACGCTTTCCAGAAACGGATCTGCATAGTAGTTCCGATAACCTAAACTCTAAACCCTAAACCCTAAACCCTAACCCCTACCCTAAACCCTTTGGAACTTGATAGCTTCCGCATTCTTTTCCGTTCCATCATTCCCCAACAACCAGCAGTGAATCCGCAGCCTCCCGGACGACAGCGTCCATGTCTTATCCACTCCATTCGTAGGGTTTAGGGTTTAGGGTTTAGGGTTCTGTTCTGCTAACCTTCAGCACGCCCTAAATCCTACGCTAACCCACGGCTTTAATCTCTGTTACTTTCGTTTTTCTATTGACCTTCCATCACTGTACTATATGAAATGCGAAACCCTAAGCCTTCAAACCTGAGCCATAAACCCTACTCAAGACCCTAGATTTACTAAACCTTAACACCTAGTAAGGTTGTGCCTGTCTTGCACGCCAGCATCCGCGAGCGCAGCGGTTCCAGCTCACTGGGAAGTTTTGCCCCCAGGTCTTTTGCCTAGGTCAGCGAAACAAGGGTAGGGTACACACGACCCCGGGGATAGGTGTGTATGTATATATGTATGGAAAATATTTGTACGTATGTGTATAGATATGTATATATATATAGAGAGAGAGAGAGAGACATACGCGCATGCATATATATATATATTTTTAAATGTGGCAGGTAGGGGGCTTCTCAGAATTGAGTACACAAAGGGACCTTGGAGATGTATGGAGGTGGTCAGGAGATTCTCGAGGATTCTGTAGGGCTTACTTTGGGAAACCACCACCTTCTCCAGATGGAGTCTGGAAACATGCGGACCAAAAAGGTGGTGGTGGTGGTGGTGGTGGTGGTGGTGGTGGTGGTGGTGGTGGTGGTGGTGGTGGTGGTGGTGGTGGTGGTGGTGGTGGTGGTGGTGGTGGTGGAGGGGGCGG